CTGGCACTAAAAAGGCACTTTGTGAGTGGTGAATTAATTATTTATATTTCTTTGAATTTTTATACCTAATAAAAATGAGTGAAATTATAGAATTGAAATTAACTAAAAGAACAGTATTCTGTGTGCTAAGAATAAATATTATTCTTTTAATTGATAAAATAAGTAATAGCATATAGATATTTATTATTTATGGAGTCCTAGAGAAGTAGGAAAATATTGGGTAATCAATATCTTTTCTTCAATTGAAATTGACTGAGACGTGTAATTTTTCTATTAGAGAATTATCGGAATACATACGATTAATTATTATTAATGGATAATATACTTTTTCATAATTATATTAAATTATTTAGAATGTTTTCGCTTTAATGTGCTGAAGGGCATAATTTTGTTGATATGTTTTGCACAAATGAATTTTGTAAATGCAAAAGGCTATTTTGTTTTGAATAATGCTTTAGAATGGACTCCCTACATACAAATCATATTTAACATACTTAAAAAATTTAAAACCTTTGTGAATATATGAAAGACATATCGGAATAATGCATTAAGCTAGTGGAGGAGCTAGAAATCTAATTTTCAAAAGTGGAATAATTTTTCAAACAATTTAAATCTGAAATTCTATCGAAGTATTCAATATTGGAGAGTAAACTGCTAAATTTAAATTAAAATCAAATTAGTAATACTTTAAGCAATTTTGTTAAATTTAATGAGGAAAAAAAGGAACTAGCAAATGATTTCATAAGAATTACTGATAATTTTATAGAAAGTTTAAGAGAAAGCAGTAAAAAGTTTGAAATAAGTCAGGTTGATGATTTCTAAACTTTTGAAGATGAAGTTCATGACAATTCAAAACCATTCTCATACGTTTTAATGTAAGAAAATAGAAAACACTCATCAATAAGGTGCTGCTCGTTTGCATTCAATAATGATTCATCAATTATTGTGGCTGGATTAGAGAGTGGTGCAATTCAAATATTTGAATTAGTAAATGAATTGATGAAAGAAAAATAGATATGCAAAAATCATAAGGATGCAGTTTATTGCCTATAATTTATGACAAAATCTAACCAATTTGTCTCTGGAAGTGAAGATGCAAGTCTTATCATTTGGTCGATAAATGATTAACAAGAATGGTTTAATAGTACTAAGTTGATAGGGCATACTGGCATAATGATGTGTTTAATATTAGATAATAGTGAAAATGTGATATTCTCAGGGAACAGCGATCGTTCAATTAAAATCTGGGATAAGTAGTGTAATTATAACTGCACCCAAACTTTAAATGAAATATCAGGAGATATATTATCATTAAGTTTGAATTCAGGATAAGATATGTTAATTTCTTGTATTGAAAAATCAGATTAGATAATTGTGTATTAAAGATCTGATAACTTATGGAAGTTTTACTAGAAGATATCAGTATAACTTTGGGGATATAGACTTTGTTTTGTAGGCAACAACAGATTTGCATTTTAACCTAATGCGTCTAACATCATGGAAATTTATGAATTAAATCAAATAACTAAACAATTTACTTAAATAAATAAAGTTCCAGTAGAATCAGATAGTAAATGTGATGCGTTATTCCCTTAGCAATTTGTGAAATAAAAATCTATTTTAGTGAACAAGAATGGATGTTTTGTAAATTTATTCAGAATTATGCCAAATAAAACAATTTAAAGTTAGGAATCAATAAAATTCTGTAGTGAATAGATATATGGAGCATTAGATAAAAAAGGTGAATATTTAATTACATGGGATGAGTACTCTTAATAAGTATAATTAAGAAAATACAAAGAGTAATAGATAATTATTTGAATTATAAATTTGTCTTGACTCTAAAGCATTAAATAATAATTATTTTAACCATTTGATAATTTTATGTTCTTGAAATAAATTTCTTTTTTGCTTTTTCTTAATGAATAATAATTTATGTTACTATATAGTTTTTAAATGTGCTGTTATGTTCCTGTTGTTACTTCTTAAAATATAAGATAATTAGATTTATCTATTTAAACAATTGTAAAACTACTCTTTTTAATCACAGAACATTTTTCAATAATAACATTAATACTGTTAGAAGATGATTCCTTTTGAATGTGTGGTCTGATTTAAGAATATTATGGATCTGGTGGTTATTTACTATTGAAATCAATAATGGTATAATTATAGTCCTCATTTACTAGCTTTTATTCATTTTAATCATGTTCACTTATTAAGGTTGCCTCTATTTCGAAAATTTAAAATAACTATATTTCTAAATTTAAATCAAAAACTGAATAAAAAGAGCTTAATAGTTTTAGTAATTAATTTATTCATAAAAACTAAGCTTGAAAAGAATGTTTCATATTACTATGCTTATGATTATTTTCCAGTAAAGTATGAATACTTTTTGAATAATCAATTTGATAATAGATTCTTATGATAATTGAAACAAAATTGTTTAACTTTTATCTTTAAAATTAAATTAGATTTTAAAGCCAATATATTATGTATCTTGAATCAACATTAACT